AATGAATGGAATGACGAGATGATAAAGAGTACTTAAATAAATCAAATCATGATTTTATTGAGAATAACATTAACTATTTTATTAAAAATTCATGTTTTCTATTTTTTAATGTTAAGATTTTAATTAATAATAATAAAAATAAATAACAAATTAGTATATTATTATTAATCTATTTATATATAAAATAACAAAATTCAACAAAAGATTCAAAATGACAAAAAAGAAAGAAACAATGTAAATTATCACAAAAATAATCTCATACTCGTATTTTTCATCATTATTTATGTTAATGTTTTATATTATAATGTTAATTAATTGTATTAATGCTGATGAATATGACTGTATTCCAAAAGGACATGAATTTAAAGATGGATTTGAAAGTGGAAAAGATAAACAATGTGAATCACTCTCAAACAATTATTCATATTATTTTAACAAGAATTTCACTTACTCTGGTTTAGCTTTCAATTGTAACAGAACATATCTTGATGGTAAGTTCACAATGACAAGTTTATATGATTACTGGAGTGCAAATGTTATTGAAGTTATGGATAATTCTCAAATTAATTTAAATGGAAGATTTCATACATATAAAGAATTTAACATTGGAACAAATTCTATAGTATTTTGGATTGGTCATGTTTCGTTTAAACATTCAATTACATTTGAAACAACACCATCATTAAATCAACCTCAAATAATTATTTGGAAAAGTGATTATATTCATCTTTATAAACCAGCTGGGTCACAAATAAGTAAATTTGAAGTTAATAATCCAATTAATAATAAACAATGTTTTGATGTGATGTCATTTAATAATAATGCTGCACTTGACTTTGATAAAAAATCATTTGACCATTATTTACCAAAAGATTTTAAGAATGGACTTGATATGTTAGAAGGTAAAGCATATTTAATATCAAATAATAGATTAATGAGATTTTGTCCAAATGGAACTGATTTAGATACAAGTGTTACTTGTACAATGAATGGTAATAATTATAATTTATCATATTCAGGAAATGATAATCAACCATTCAATTATCCACATTGTCCATGTGATGATAATGGTGAAACTGAATGTATTCTTAATATTCAACAAAATTTAAACACAGTAAATTTTAATAATAATATTATTAAATATACAACTCTTAATATTGATCATGATATTATATTATATAATTTTATTTCAGTTAAACAAATTAATGTTAATGATGATATTACATTATTAATAGCACCTGTTTCATCAATCAAAGAGTATACTCAAAAGATACAATTTAATAACTTTGAAATTACAAATAATAGAGAAAAGAATGTTATGACACAATTCAAATACAATTCAACTACAAATACATTGGAAATAAATGGAAATAATAAACTAAAACATTCATCAAATCCAACAAATAAACCATTAACTTTAATTATAAATGGTATTCTCACATGTAATTCTTTTGTTAATAAATCTGTTTATTATTTCACTAATTCTTCTTCATCAACACCATTAATAAATATTAATAATAATAATGGTAATAATAATATAATGATATTTGATGAAACAGTAAGATTAAATGGTCAATTATCAAATTGTATTGTTTTAACTGGTAAATCAAATGAAAAATTTAAATGTATCCAATGTAAAAAAGGATATTATTTAAATTCAAAACAAGAATGTCAATATAATTCACATTGTAATAAAATAAATAAACAAAGTCATTGTATTGAATGTGAATATGGATATTATTTAAATTCAAATAAAGAATGTCAAATATTACCAGATAATTGTATTGTAAGATATAAAACATATTGTTATCAATGTAAAGAAGGATTTATTAAAGAAAAAGGAGAATGTCAAAAAAATGATAATAAATGTAATAAATCAGAAAGAAATTATTGTTTAAAATGTTCAAATGGATATAAATAGA